GTTCTTCTTGACCAGCTGCTTGATTCAAGTGTGACCAGCGTGCCCCATCCTCCTGTGCAGCAGGTTGACGTCCACCGTACTCACTGCTGCTGCCATAGGAAGCGCCTGCTGCTGCAGCTCTTTAATCGGTACCTTTTCCAGCTTGTTGCGGAGCTCCTCTCGTGCTACCTTTCCCGCTTCCGGTTCAGCCAGGTACGTGGTCTTCTCCCCACTCTGTTTCTCGTGAAGCTTCATCTCGTACAACCCCTGCTTGCGTGATCCCTCCGCTATCACCTTCCAATCCGAACCGAACACCCATATGCTGCCGTTGTCACGAAAAGTCTTGCACCCACCACTGTCTAACTGCGACTGGCTTATGAGGTTGAGTGTGAGCTTGTCCACCAGCAGCACGTTGTCCAGCTTCACCTCACCATAAGCACTTTGCAGCACTAGGTCTCCTTCCCCTTTCACAGGAAGTTTCCTCTCGTCTCCCAACAGCACATACGGTATCGGTGATGCTCTGAATTTTTTCAGCCACTCCTTTTGGTTCGTCATGTGTTGGGTACAACCGCTGTCCATGTACCACTCCTTCCCCTTAAGGCCCTTTGCAAGCAGGCATGCTCCCGAAGCTCTTGCAACATTGGCCTTGTGGGTTCCCCCGAGGATGACGTCGTCGTCGCTGGTTTCCGCTTCGGTGGCGTTGATCTTTGCAGGTACGTGATTGTTTTGCTGCTGCTGCCCTCCCCTGAAGCTCTTGCTCATCGGGTTGCTGTAGCAGTCGATTGCTTTGTGCCCAAATTTCCCGCAGTGGTTGCAGTTTCCAGCAAATCCGCCTCGAAGTCGCTGTCCTTCTCCGCTTGTCCCTGTTGCCTTTCCTTTGAAATTCTTGCTTCTTGGGTTGGAGTAGCAGTCTGCAGCCTTGTGCCCTTTCTTCCCACAGTGGAAGCATGCTCCGAATGATTTTCCAGCCCCGGTTGCGTTCAATATAGCAGGTTTGTCGTTGCTGAAGTTGTCCGGCAGCGCCTCCCTTCGCTCTTCCTCAGCACGTATAAGCGACACGTCTTGAAGGGATTCCACTAGGTCCGTCATGCTATAGTCTGTGTAGGCTGTAGTGGGGTAGCTCATATGGGGTACAACACTTTAGGGTTTCCTACTTGTACTCCTCATGCTGTTCAATGCAATCATTCCTTGTTCTTTCACACAAACCACTCTCTCGCCTTGCTGATGCTCAACTTCCGCTTCAGAACCATTTGCGCCAGCGGCTCAACCGCACACAAAAACAGGTACAGGGCGAGGGGGCAGCCCTGCCGGACCCCGGAGACCACCTCCACGCCTTCTCCCATCCAGCCATTAACTAACAACCATGTCTGCGTTCCCGCATGCAGGCCTTCCACCCAGCGCACCAATCAATCAGGGAAGCCCATCGCCCGCAACGTCCGGAAGAGGTGGCCGCGGGAAACAGAGTCAAGCGCTTTTTTGAAGTCGACCAAGAGGAGGAACCAATACTCATTATCATTCCGCGCCGTCTCAAAATGTCAGCGACAAGCCCCACCGCATCCGTCAGGTGCCTTCCTGAGTTATCCCCCTTCTTGTGAAGCAGTATTTTAACTGCCTCTTTTACTTCCGTTGAGAGAACTGCTGATGAAGGAAAATCCTTGGCTAAGGCCATGAAGCCCTTACCCAGCAGGTCCCAGTGGGCTTCAAATAGCTCCTTTGGTAGACCATCTTTCCCCGAGGACTTGTTTTCTGCCATCGCACTAAATGCCTTTTTCACCTCCTCCTCCGTCCAGTCTGCTGCCAGTTCATCTGCATCCCAGACCCTCAGCGTCGTTCCCTGCGCAGGACGCAAGTCGTCTTCCAGCTGACACTGGTGTCGTCCGAAGATTTCCGCGAAAAATTCAGACACCGCACGAAGAATATCTTGCAAAGTGGAGACGGCACGTGCCGCTGTCTGCAACTCCGCAATCTGGGTACTCGTCTTCCTAGCCTGGACCATTGCCGTCAGGTGCTGTGATGCCACTTCCCCTCAGAGTTCCAACCACATACCGGACATCAGTAGCAGCTTGTCCTTTCTTGACGCCTAGTATTCTCGCAGTTGCGCCTCCTTCACTACTAACCGTGCACTTGTTGCCTTGCAGGACGGATCCCGCATCATTTCCTGACGAAGCTCCACAACCTCATCAGCCAGATGAGTCACCGTCGCCTTCACCCGCTTGCCTTCCTCCTTTGCAAATGCACGAAGCCCAACTGCCAACCTCGAAAGAAGCAGCTCGAAACTGCTACCGTTCGTGACAGCACACTTCGCTACCATCGCTTCCACAATCCGTCGAACCCCATGCTTGTGGACCATTGATGCGTGAAGTCTCCAGAGGCCGGGACCGATGCAGAGCTTGGCGTCAATCCAAAGGGCCACCCGGATTGCAAAGTTGTGATCTGATCTATAGTCCTCCGGCATCACATGAGAAGCCTGGATTAGGTGAGGTAGGAGAGAGTGAGAGATGAGAGCCCAATCAATGCGCGTGTTGGCTTGCTTGGCCTGGGAAAAAGGTAAACTCTTGCTTTCTTAGATAAAGCGTACGGAAAGCGACTAAGAGCTGGAAGTTAGTGCAGCGGGTGAGGAGCCTATCGTTTTCTGCAGTAGAACCTATGCGCGATGATTTATTTAATATCGGGTCCTCTATAATGTTAAGATCGCCGATGATGAGCAGGTGATTGGATGGCGGGATCGAGTCTACGTCCGGACCGAGGGAGTCACGGAGAAAAGTTGCACGGGAAGTCGCATTGGCCGGGAGGTAACAAGCTATGATGGTAAGCTGCAACCCAAGACCATGGATCTTAGCGGAAACTTATCTACCAGACCAATGGATTAACACGCTGGAGAAGCTAAGTAAAGGCGACCGCCAGCCTTCGACCTAGGTGAGGTTGCTACTGCTAAGCTGTAAGTTGGGTGGGACCATATGGGTGATCGGAAGCTATCCCAGTGCCAGAGAGGACAATAATGTCTGCTGCTTGTCTGGACCTGTCGAGGACACGCTGCTATTTGGTCTTATCTCCTAGGCCGTTGATGTTAAGGTCTGCGAAGCTGATAAGGCTTCTTTTACTCATATAATAGCAACTTGAGAACCCCTACGCATCCACAGGGTAAAGAAGAGAACAGCACCGACTACTGAAAGGGCTACTGCTGCTGCTACATCCTGTCTACCGAGCTGCTCTTGCCTCAGAGCCCATACTCCTTCGTCGTGACGTTGAGAATTGCTTTCTCAAGCGAGGCACGAGTCGCAGATCCGAGCTTCTCCAGATGAATGAGGTGATTTGCGGAGGTGACATGTTCTGCCGCATTCATGAAGTTTCCCCCCTTCGCCTTCCCACAACCCACTAGCGTGCAGATCCACTCCTCCTGGTCCCCTCCAGTGGAGATCAGCACCATGAATGGGTCCTATAGGATAGGAGTTATCAGCGGTGAAGCCGAAAGGGATGTAGCTGCACGGTAAAACTTGGCGGTTAGCACAAGAGCAAGCACAGTGGTAAGCATGATCATACAGAGAAAAGCAGTTACCATTAATACGATGAACCCTCCCCAAGGTAAGGTTCCACTTCCCTATGTTGTTTTGCCGCTCCGTAGGGAAAGCATCATGATTGATGTCATATTGCTGTCCACCATAGAGCCGGCAAGACAGCGAAGGAAAGTGGACCAAGAAGCGACGACCGATCTCCAGAGGATCCTAAAAAACATGGCGCCAGCGGTATCTATCGCCGGGTTGAGGGATCACAAGACCTTTGATGACATCAGTATCAGCTCTGGTGACAAGGTGTAGAACACGGTGGAAGCAGACACCATCCTTGAATGCTAACTGCATCCAGTTCTGTAGCTGGTAAACCAACATCAGCTCCCGCAGCATCTCCGACGTCTTCGTCGCAGTTACATCCGGATCACCACTTCAATCGCTTGCTTGTTCATCGCACGCTCTCGCACAAAATCAGGGTCGTCACGAACGGTATTGCTGAGCACCAGACACTCACTGCGTGCCAGTGAGCTGAGGACATAAAGGGGCAATGGTTACCAATCGGATTTGCTCTGTGTACTACAAAAACACGTCTTCTTAATCTCGGTGGAAAACTAAATGTTGTTGTGCAAGTGCATAGGCAGCAGAACGACAGCAGTAATCATGGTACTATATCGAATAGACCGAGTGCATGACGGAAGTGATTAGGTTGTGGGACTTGTGTTCTTGGTGCCACAAGACCCGGTGGTCTTATCCGGGAGTATTGGCGATCACCATCGCTCATTGCCTCCAAAGCATCCTGCACCACCACAAGGTGATGCTGCTGGACAATGGACAGTTCGTGTACCTAAATTTGCCGGCGCTGGTCGAGAGGATGCTGATGTTCAAAGAGCTTGTACATCCAATGATGTTAAGAAAAACTAGTATTCTAAGCCGAATCGCATCAGCATAGTCAGTGGTGACTAGCAAGGGATAAATATTATGTTATGCCTAATGCCAATAAACATACTTAGGATGAGGAGAGAGTGATATGAAGAGAGTGAATAGTTATGAGCAATGTACTCTTGATGTGCAAAGGAAAAATCAAATGTGTGCTGATATGAAGTGGCTCTCAATCACGTCTGGTTTTCAGTATTGTGGGAGGACAAAGAAAAGGGCGCGCGCACGCACACGCACGCACACCCACACACACACACACATACACGCACGCACCACACACACACACACACACACACACACACACACACACACACACACACACACACACACACACACACACACACACATATGCATGCACAAACATTTCACAATACATATTTTTGTTCTTACTATTCAAGTTATGAAAGTATGCAATAAAATTCCAGTCATGAAATACAACATGGTACACACAATTTACAAGCCATTATGGCTTCTTATTTAGATTCTCTAGGTATCTGTATATATCTGACCAGTGTTAAAGGAGATAAAAACCCCACCACCCCAAAAAGAGACTCTGCAGCACTGCTTCACACAAACTTGTCACATGACATCGCTTCCATCGCTGCTTTCATGTTCCCCCCTACGCCACGCAGCGGCATACATGCAATCCGCGGAGTGAATATCTGAGGTGATGTAGTCCTCCGTGCGCCCATCCAGGAATCCCCTGCCACTCTCACTCTCCACCTCCACCGGCTCGCGCAGCAGGCGGGTCAGCAGGCGGTACCGCAGCGAGCGCACCTTGCGGGATTCCTCGGCTCGGAAGGTCTGACCCAGCACGCCGTGAATGCCGCTCGTGTGCTGTAGAAATGAAGAGGGAAGGAGGGAACGACAGGAAGGGGGGAGATGGGTGAAGGTCTGACCCAGCACGCCGTGAATGCCGCTTGTGTGCTGCACACGGGGGAGAGAGAGGGAACGACAGGAAGGGGGAGAGGGGGGAGAGGGTGAAGGGAAGACGTTGCATGGGACAAAATGACAAAAACGGTACTGTACCAGGACAGCTATCATGGCAGCACCGCCCAGGCAAAGCACAGCCAACACATAGCAAACAATCAGAATGTTGCTCACATTGAGTCGGGCGATGTGCACATTGAAATGCGCCTGGGCCTCCGTAGCCGTCTGCATGAGTGGATGCGCCAAACGCGCTAAGATGCCCATGTCCACCAGGCCGTCGATCGTGAGATGAAACTCATCCTCGTCCTTCCCCTTGCAGCTCCGCGTCTCCGCCAGAAGCAGCTTGAACCCGCCGCTGCCAGCAACGAAAGATCCTTCGGACAGAGGCGGGGCCACCGGCGAGCCGTCGAGCTCCAGTCGGTCGATGAACCCGCTGCTGCCCCTCCCTTGCTCCTTGCCGTCGCGCGCCTTAATGAACGCTGAGTGATGCGCGCCAGTATCATCGCGCCACATCACTTGAAGCTCCCTGGAAGGCACAAAGCATAAAGGGTTGTGCAGCCATGAAGAAAAGGTGAGGCTCGTAACGACTCGTGCAGTCTCCTACAAACACGGCGCATGCTACCCAGAATGGCTACGAGTACATTATGGCGCATGCGCATCATCTACAATCACAGTGTCGCACACCTGATCCAGCTGCGAATCGGCTTTTCTTTCAGAAGCCTCGCCTTCAGCTCATGCTTCGCATACTGAATCGAATATTGCTCCTTCTCTTCCCCCCACCCCTGGCGCCATCTTCGCCGCTGCGACGACCCGTCTCCCTGTCAAGCGCCGCCACCACCTCATCAGTCCACGGCAGGCTCCCATTGGCCCGCATTCTCTCCAGCTCGCTCAGTTCCTCCACGCTCAGCCGTTCTTGTTCCAGCTGCCTGATATGACGTGGCTTCTTCTCATTGGCCGCCGCTTCCACCGCTGCAGCGAGCGACTCTTCGTCCAATGATGTCGCCGTGCCGGGGAGATTCGCGATGGGCTGGTAGCCCTTGATTCCCATGTTGATGTGGATCCGACGGTCGGAAACCAAGCAAAAGGAGCGGTCGAGAAGGCCGTTGAAGTCGTATTGGGTGCCGTCTGCGCCCCGGAAATGCGGATCGTCGTCCGTGTTGGCAAGGGGGTTGCACTCGCCACCCAGGAACGTTGGGAGGATGGGTATGTCCCAGTTCCGCACGGTAATGCCTGCCAATGAGCCCAGCAACGTGCATTGGCCACTGCCAGTGGTGTCACGGGGAGGGGGATAGGAAGTTAGCCGGCGGTTATAAGAGATGGGAAGCGGAGGCGTTGACAAAGTCACACACGGTGAAAAGCATTCTGAACTGAAGGAAAGAAGCTTGCTACACGGAGTGAGGGCAAGTACTTCATTCAAAGCTTTTTCATCGCATGACAAGGATAACGAATATCAGTGGCACTGATGCTTACATCTCGCCATTCATTGAAGGTTTCAAATGCCAGAACCTGCAGCCCACCTTCTTGGCGCACTTCTGACAGCAATCCACAAACTGCCAAAGAGGAGAGACGGGAAAATACGGGGGCAAGTTAAAACAGAAGGTACACAGCCTCTCCACCTTTCTCGCGTTCTCATTGAACTGTAGTGATGCGCCGCCGAGCAGCCCTTGCTCAAAGTCAACGGAGAAAACGCAGCCATGCGATATGGCGATGGACAATAAATGACGGAAGGCACGACGGAAGGCATGACGGAACGCAGCCTGCGATATTGGGGCTTAATCAATTATTACCCCGGTTGAATCCAAGGAGCCTACGACGTTTGCGGCCGCAGGGTCGAGAACGTAGCGCTCATAGTTGTAGTTCCCGAGAATGTGGTGCGGTCCCGACGCCCTCGTGTCTTTTGGTTTATTTATGTAGTACCCCAGCTTAAGCCTGTTGCACTTCTTCCAACATCCGCGGGGTTGTGTCAAGGGGCCGTGAGGTTTGTCCTCGTCAGGATGCTTTGCTAGTACCGTCGGAGAAGGTGCTCCCAGAAGCACCGCAGCGGACAAAAGCAGTAGCCACGATGTCGCTCCCGCGGCTCTTCTGCCAATGGCGAAACAGCCCGCATAGCCGCGTGTTTTCATGCTTGGCTTTCAGACTTGGAACAAGGAAGTGCTGGAGCCTCCTTGCGGAACAGGATGGCGTAGGACTGTCCAGTGACACTGACTGGTGAACGACTAGTACTAGTAGTAGTACTACCCAGCAAGAAAGCTTTATGGGGTGTCTGATGCCTTGGGTTCCAATCAAGAAAGTACAGTAAGAACATTGACTTTGAGCATCAACGCATCGCGGATTTGCGAATCGGGTCGAACTTGTTTGTTCGTACGATCTCTGAGAAAGTGTCTCAGCAGTGGAGTGGGTTGAGGGAAGGTTATTCACGTCAGATGAGCCACGTCGGATCAGATTGGCTTGACTTCACGCTCGATGACAAAAGTCATGCGAACTCTTTCATTGAATGGGGATCTGTCAAGGGCTTGACTGGGCATTGGCAACGTCACTCCAAGAGTGGAAAACGAATCCCTTGAAGGGGTTGGCGGAGCAGCCTTTGATCATTTTCAGGGTACTCTGTTTTTTGCCAAGCCGAGACCCATTTCGGATCGTTGTCATCCATTTCCCTCCCCATACGCACAAACTTCAGGACTGAGGTCGTGTCAGCGTCGTGTCAGCTGTGCTAGACCTGAGGTCTGTGATACGAGCCCAAATTGACCGTTGGTGCCTCTTTTCCAGGAGCCGGCAATGGGTGGGACTGGGTGTCTGACCTCAGCTGGACGGAGAGGCAGAGAACTGAAAAGCTGGTGGGAAAAGTGTCATTGAAGTGTTCAGGACTTTCGAGTGTTTAAAGTCTACACAAGAAATTTCACGATCATGGCGTTTCCCGACCTGGAATGCGGGAGAAAAGATGGGACGTCAGCGCAGGCTGCTGTTGGTCGTCTTTTCCCATGGCGTGATTTCATGGCTATCCCGCTCACGACCAGGCATGAAACTTCGTGCTAGGGTGTTTCCTTACAGCACTATTTTTGACTGATAATCTTTCAGATGTACAGTTTACCCATTCTGTGGCTAATCATCTTCTGAACATGATTTCGTAACCTTCTTAGGACGCTAGTTGGTCTTTATCGACGTATTTGCACTGTCACCTTTCGTATTTGCATTGCCGCCATGGACGGGGAATAAGAATTCGACAGGAGGAAACTGAGAATGAAAAACAGGTGGACCCGAAGACCAAGCAGATGCAACGGGTGTGGCCGAGTGACGAGAGAACTTGTACTCACGAAAGTTTTACGACGAGCTGTAATCGCTAGGGCGATGTACGCGCATTCGTTTACTTCCAACAGCAGCACAAGGCATGTGCAAACAGATAACACTACAGTATCCTGGATGTGCAGGTCTCAGGCGAACAAAACAGAATATGAATGTTGACTGAAGGAACGACGACCCACGCGGAGAACCTGGCTGGGACTGTCCTGCTGCGCACATGTTTGACATTTATCCTGGTGCGTTATGCACATCTTCAAGTACGCCCTAGAAAGACGACTACACAACGCTGGCTAGCATAACCCGACAATAGTCCATCTAAGAAGTAATTGTTTCAATTCTGTATTCTTGATGCCACACAATATGTTCAAACTCTCTCATCGGGTATGGTAGTGATTTTTTATAAGGATCATGTTCTCTCTTTTTCAGTTCGTTATCTTTTCCTCCAGCAGACTAAACCAAACGAAGGCACTGTCCCATAGGGAAATCTCTTCCATGAACTAGGGACCCAGCTTATGCCCAACACCTTTGTTGTATCACATTTAGAGAATCAGTGCAGCTGCATTTACAATCACAGTGTTGAGTATAGTAATGGGGAAGCAACAGGCTGCCACCAATTAGTTAACTACTACCGATTCAGCTTCGTCTTGGTGTGGAACCTTCCCATAGGCCTCCAGGTACTTTCTTTGGTGCACCCGCATGCAAACCCATAAGCCTTTGCAATAGTGATCGGCGATGTCCGCCACTTGTCGTGTCAATCGCTATGCTCAGATAAGATCTTGCTTTGGTCGAGCCCAACTACTGTAATTCGGTGGGCGAAATATTTCTTCCCGACTACTGTCAGGGCGTGTTCCTTCGGCCCCTTATCAGGGGACCTCTTGTCAGACTTGTGCGGTTCAATGCGTTTCAGTACAATCGAATGTTATTAAGAGTGTTTCAGTGCGGTGCGACGCGAATCTGACAAGAGGTTCGCCTGATAAGAGGCTGTAGGAACACGCCCTAATTAGCGTACAATTTTCCGCCTTGAGTTCCCAACCAAGTCGCCACTACTTACCTCTGTTCACCACACTGAATCTACAAAAATCCCAACCACCTGTTCCAATTTTCGATCTCGTCACAACACAACCCCCTCTTCCCCGCTAGTCTACTACGATATTCCTTCATTAGCTCGCTGGACGCGTCCGTGGTAATTGTGAGGGCCCCGGTTTTTGCAGTTACAGGGCAGCGGGCCGAGCATTACTCGGACGAGCTTTTCTAAATGCTCGCCCGAGTTCCCTCTTATAAGGCGAGTAACGAGTTTCTGTTAGGGGGAAAAATGCTTGGTCGAGTATTACTCGACTCGGGCTCGTACTCGGCCGAACAAGGCTAGGGACGAGTCGAGCATTACTCAGCTTGCCCCTTTGCACAGGTATACATGGCTTCTTGAATCATGCCTGGCTGAATTATGCCTGGCTGAATCATGCCTGGCTGAATTATGCCTGGCTGAATCATGCCTGGCTGAAATCATGCCTGGCTGAATCATGGCTGCCTGAATCATGCCAGGCTGAATCATGCCTGGCTGAATCATGGCTGCTTGAATCATGCCTGGCTGAATTATGCCTGGCTGAATCATGCCTGGCTGAATCATGCCTGCCTGAATCATGCCTGCCTGAATCATGCCTGGCTGAATCATGGCTGCCTGAATCATGCCAGGCTGAATCATGCCTGGCTGAATCATGCCAAGCTGAATCATGTCTGGCTGAATCATGCCTGGCTGAATCATGCCTGGCTGAATCATTCCTGGCTGAATCATGCTTGGCTGAATCATGCCTGGCTATATCATGCCTGGCTGAATCATGCCCGGCTGAATCATGCCTGGTTGAATCATGCGTGGATGAAACATGCCTGGCTAGATCATGCCTGGCTGAATCATGGCTGCTTGAATCATGCCTGGCTGAATCATGCCTGGCTGATTTATGCCTGCCTGAATCATGCCTGCCTGAATCATGCCTGCCTGAATCATGCCTGCCTGAATCATGCCTAGCACGGCAAATTCAGGCACAGGGGAATCAGGCACAAGAAATTCAGGCACAGGGAAGTCATCCTCAAAGCATTCAGCCTCAGACTGATCCAGGACTGACCCAATACTAACCTGAGAGTGACCTGAGATTGACCTGAGAGTGACCTCCTTCTCTCTCTGTCTGCCTTTCTGGAGGACACGGCAACAGGGCATCCAACAGCCCAGCCATGCCTCGCCTCACCCATTGCCCAGACTCGCAAGTACCTACCAAGCAGCCCAATACCTTCACTCAAAAATACCCCTCAAAACACCCAGCTCCTTCTCCCTCTCCTCGCCCATGCAAAGCAGCTGCGATGGGTCAACCAGCACCTAGCTTCGCTTGCTACTGACCAGGTGACCCATTACTCGCCCACGTACTCTTCATCACGCACCTCCTTCTCCCACTGTTTGTCTTTCAAGAGGGAGACGGCCACGGGCACCTAACAGTCCAGCTTCGCCTGCAGCCTCTCGCGCACCTCTGGTATTGGTGTTTTCGTGGCTTACCCAACTGCATGGGCAAGCAAGGAAGGTGGTGAGGCAGGTGACAAGCCAAGTAAATGGTGAGTGGATGGTGGGGCGACGTGGCTGGTGCTGCACGGGGGTTAATACAACAGCACTGCCATGAGTCACGCACGTGAGTCTCCCACCTGAAACTTCCACCACCCACCTGAACCACCGACCTGTGTCACCAACCTGAGTCTCCCACCTGAGCCACC